AATTGCAATTCAAATAAATAATAATTTTTTTCCGCATCCTCTCTAAGAAGGTTAGACATGGGTGTGTTTATTTCATGTGTGGTAATCCTAAACGTCGGACCGGTTGAACAGAGTGGTGGATTTTGCTTTAGTATGCATATTTTTGCGTGATAGGTAGAAGTAAGACTCCAATCAGAGGATATTGTGAATGTAACGGTGTTGAGGTCTAAGCGTTCCTGTTGAAAGAAAATGAAGTGTGAAAATGTGGTAACGAGAGGATAAAGAGTTATGAAAAACCTACGATGAACGATGTTAATGCGGTATTGTTCCCGGTTTGGTATATTCCTGCCGTAACTCTGGCTGTAATTTCACGAAAAATTTCAATTCTCTAATCAAACATATCATATACTGTAGTTAACATTCAGATACATACGATTTCCAGGTATCCCTGCAGACCACCAACTTATGGTATGTTGTGTGTCTACTACCAATGGTGCCTGTCCAGGCGAGGTGATGTGTATTTTTGGTCTAGTCGGGTAGGCATGAATCAATATCGAAGAAAGAGTTGCCGAAGTGAGTAATATGATCAATAATAATTTAAGGGATTTTGATGAATATTTTACGTATGAAAAATTCATTTCTGTAAAAACAGCAGAGCAAAGATACGACAAGAAATAACTTATGTGGTCATGAAAAAACGAAAATTTGAATTTAAAAAACCGGCCGATACTAGTCAATGCGAATTCAATTTGGGTTTTCATTGAAAATGGTGCGTTCCCGTTCGAAAAAAAAACAAGGCAGCTTTATAACAAGATGGTTTACAATTAAGTTTTTTATTATGTGCAGCCTGAATTAACTATCGTGAAGCTAAGCCACAATACTGCACATGCACTTAAATAACAAGCCCTTTAACAAGAATCACATTTTTTACCACGGGTCTAACCAATTAAAAATCAGTGCCTCTTAATATGTTAAATTATATTTAATTTCTTTATACTTCAAAAAAAAAAGTGAGCGAAATCGATGGTATCGCAATACCTTTTCACACGAGTTTTACCATCCAACTTTACATATTTGTGATCACCGCTCGTAACAAATCGTAAAGATTTTTCAAAAACACGTCTCCTCTATTATAATACGGAATCCTTTTTCGGATCCTTATAGTATGAGCATCTCGTTTGAATATTAGACGATTGAAAAAACCTCTGCGCATGAGACATGCTTTATTTAAAATAAGGCAAAGCCCTCATAAATCTTTTCTTTAACGCATTTGCTTAAGAAATTTCGCAGGTGTTTTAATAATGGGAAGATGCATACAAAGCATTCTCCTGTGACAAGATAAAAAAAATGTCTAATGAGACTATATAATTTTCTTCGTTTCTTATATTATCCTTAATATCTGGTTTTTAAAAAAAACAGTGAATCTTTATCATAGTTCGTATAAAATTATTTAATCTTGATGTAGTAAAATTTGTGGTTCTTTTTTCACTTATTGTAATAAATCATAAAATTCTCTCGAGGAAGTAATACCTTGAACATTTATTAAAGCTCGAGGTGGTGCTTAAAATAGTTAAGATTCACCAAGCCAACGTTTGAAGTAATTCCGAAGATGTGGCAATGTAAATAAAAAAACAAATAAGGATTTGATATAATAATTTTCCTTCAGCATCAAGAAAATTTGTTCAGATTTGCATGTTACATTTTTTCCGACGAAATAGTAATTTTACGCCTCGATTAGAAAGTTTTCAAGAACATTAATCTCTTAAATTCCACTGCGTAAATTTCTATATTGATGCTATCTATACCGGTTCCAGCATTCATGATTGACCGTTCGTCATCTAAGAATCGAACACCGAGTTTTTTACAGCCACACTGGCAATCCTCATAATCTCAAAAATAGGTTTTATCGGCACGTTATACACATCACGAGTGTGTATTGAGTCTTAATTTTTAGAAAAAAAATCTTTTTGGTTCGCTTTTTTTTTTTTTTTTTTTTTTTTTTTTTTTTCTCTTTAAATCCTGTTTAAAGCAGGCCAATTTTAATATGGTTTTATTTTTAAATAAAAGATTAGAAAAATAAAAAAAAGATCAAATAACAACAAATACTGTAAATATTCGTTCAATAACAAAACAATTATAGTTATTTGTATAGTTTGATTCCATAAAAATTTCATATTTCCTTTTATCATGTGCAATGTAAATATGCAAAAATAATTCAAAATTATCAGAAATACGTATTTCAAAATACAAATAAAAATAAACGAAAATAATTTTTGTTAACTTTTTATATAATAAAAATACAGTCTCAGTGTAAATCTTATACATTATACAGTATGTACAGTGATACAATAATTATTATCATACTACAGGATCGACAATTTTTTCCTTGATAATCTTTTCAATCATGTCTCAAAAATTCTTCGCCTCTTTTCGTCATATCTCTCAGGCTACTTTCGCTACTCCGCTCGAAAAAATTCAAATTACATTCAAACCTTATCGGTATTTTCCTTCAAGGCTTTATTCTACCCCCCAGATAAAGCCAAATTTAAAATTATTGTCCCAATTACGTCAAGAAACCCAAGTTAGCATTATTAAGGCGAAAGAAGCGTTAATAAAACATAATAATGATTATGATAAGGCGATAGCCTGGTTATTGGAAGATTCAAAAAATAGCGGTGTGGCGAAAGCGCATAAGCTGAAAGAAAGAATAACCAAAGAAGGGCTGGTTGGTGTTGTGGTTACAAAATTTGGTGAGAGGTTTGGAGAGGAAAGGATTCTGAATGGAAGTCGAGGAGCTATCGTTGAGGTTTGATGCCTTCAATTACTATAGTTTTTTTTTTGACTTTGATGTTTAATTAAGTCTTTTAATCGAGTTTTTCATATAAAATCAGGTAAATTGCGAAACAGATTTCGTTTCACGTAATTCTCTGTTTCGGCAGTTTGTGACTCAGATAGCTTCAACCTGTCTACTCCTTTCTTCTAAAACCTCTTCAACTTCAATGATTCAACCGATTTCACCCAAAACTCTTCTTTCAACCCCACTTTTACCTTATCCCTTGTCAAACTCCACCATGCCAGTAACAAACCCTTTAACACCACCTACAGTACACGAATCGCTCGTGGGATTAATTGGCAAGTTAGGTGAAAACATTAGTTTGCGTAGAGCAGAAATTGTGAATTTTGGTGACGAAGGAAATAATTTACTCGCCCTTGATGGTCAAAAAATCTCGGATAGAATCTTAGTCACCGGCGGATATGTGCATGGTGGTATTGACGGTGATCCTTATACTGGAAAAATTGGTGGTTTGGTTTTGATTGAAGTTATTGGATTAAAAGCTCATGATCAATCAAAACGATTGGATCTTATCGAAAAGATCAACAAGCTATCAAGAAATATAGCGATGCAAGTAGTTGGATTTAACCCTAAGATAATTGATAAAAAGAATATTTTGAATGGAAATGATAAAAACATTGAAGATGACGAAATACTATTGAATCAAGATTTTATGATTGGCGGCGGTAGCGTGGAACAAGTATTGGTAAATTTTGAAAAAGAATCTGGCATAAAAATCAATATTTTGGAATTCCAAAGATGGGAAAATGGTGAAGAAGCTGAGAATGTGGATGATTTAGGATTTGTTAATGAAACAGTAGACGCAGCTGGATTATCAAATTTTAGAAAATTATTTCGCATCTTAAAATTAAGCTAAAAGATATGTAAATGTTATTGCAGTATGAACAATAAAACTTTTAGAAAATAAATACAATTATTTATTTATGATAAAAGTAGTCAATCAATAATAGGATGATTCAAATGTTAAAACAAAATATTCATATGAAAAAAATCCTCTAATGAGCACAGTTACATTATTCTTATTCTTTTGACACTTGTGATGTCAACGATGATACCGTGACAAAAGCTTAAATAAACTTTGGATGATACATATATTTGTCGCCTACCTTTCTTTCTAAAGAAATCTGATTTTCTTCTTCTCAATTCCAAACAAATCATGTCTGCAACGATACCCACCGGTTCTAAAAAACCTTACGATACGTTTTATAACAGGCTAAAACTTTCCTTGGTAAAATGATATCTAATATTATTTTTCATCATTACTTAAAAATTAATATCAATTCATTCAATTAAGGCTTTGATAATAATACGAGATAAACCAATTGGTTGGACTGTAGAAGGTAATCAATCAACAATTTTTCTCCAAAAAGACCATAATTCCAATTTCCAAGATTCCTACTAATAAAAATAGAATACACCCGTTTCGTGAATTGTCAACCTTTAACGGGACAACGAGAGAAATTGGTAGAGATGACCAAAGAAATAAAAGAGCAGATTGGTAATTATGGTGCCAATGAGAATATGAGTGATTCGGAATCAATGAAGAATCAAGAAATAGAAAACAAGGAAAATGTGGAACATGTGGAACATGTTAATCTCGACAACGAAAAAAATGGAAAAAATGATATCAAAGAAGATCAAAATATACAAGTGGAAAATGCTATGGAGACAGATGGTGAAAAATCTGGATGGAGAAAGAGAGCTTTGGAATTGACAAGTGAACTTGAGACGCTCAAGCAACAGTTATGTGCAGTTGAACAAGGTAACCTGGAAATTTAATAAGAAACTTATTCGTATCACGATAAATAATATGTGCTGTATATGCGCTAAATAGAGCTCGAAGCCGTAAAAACTAGTATCCCATCTAACAAACGGAGGAAAAAGAAAGATACGCAGCAAATTAAGGAAGAAACAAAGCAAACTAAAGACGTGTCAATGTCAACCTCGAACGAAAAGCAATCTGGTAAAGTTGTAACCACGAAAAAAGGTTGCAAACGACAAAATGATCCTGAATGTCAGGCGCTTCAAGAAGTTGACGATGGTAACTTGATTTTTCATTTTTAAATGTAGTGATAAGGAATTACAGTATATATTTCTAATCAAATTTCTTTTTGAAGGAACCGCAGTTAAGCACATTTAACCATGATAAATTCCGAATTATTCATTATGTATTACTTTGTTTCGAGTTAAAGAAAGTTTTAATACTAGAGTTAAATAAAAATTAAATATTTCTATCGACATGAAAAGACTTTTGTTGCAAACATAAAAAATTAAAGTGTCGCGACCGATACAGTAGCTTACAAAAGAAACGAAACATCTGATCAAAAAAAAGTTTTTAATTTAAGTCAAGAAATGATTAATAATAAAAATATTCGAAATAAAACTTTTTTCAATTATCAAAATATCAAATAAGAAAAAAATTAATATAAAATAGTATAAATAGTAAATTTATAAAAATACAATTATATTATTATTATTTTTTTTCTATAATTAAACAAGCATTTATTATGTTTATTAATATTTTATAATCTAAAACATAATAGTATATGACTTCTATATATAAACTATTTTATTACTTGAATATCTATTATTGATTTTAATCTTTAAATATAATCTTGAAAAAAATAAAGTTGCTTTCTCTTTTCTTTTATTCTTAAAAGGATTTAAGTTCATTGCCTGCAGTTTATTATAGTTATTATTATTATTATTATTATTTATTTATTTATTTATTTATTGGTTTTTTTAAAACATAAAAGCATTATTTTATTATTATTATTTATATATAACAAGATCTATATTATGTAAAAAAAAAATTATTTCTTAAATATAAAATATATAATAAGTAAAACCAATAGGTCAATAGTACAGTAGGTAGTGCTCCATGGTCTTCAAATGCATGTCTCTAGTTCAATACCTACAAGAGGCAAATGCATAGAATTTATCTTCATTTGTGGATTTCACTGGGTTTTCACAAATGTTATATCCAAACATCCAGCTTTTGACCAAATTCAATTAGGTTGCATGAAAATAGAACCTTTGATTTTTCTGACAATCGTGGGCTGAAAACAGGTCAAAGCAAGAAAGGTTGCATAAGGAAAGGCTTCTGGTTTAACTTTGATAAAAAGCCTCATCACTTCCTATATTATTAAAAAAGTAAGCCAACTTGAAAGAGATCATCAAGATAAATACTGCCTCTCGAGAGATATAATTAGCTGTTAAAAAGAGTTTCCTGTAGGAGTTGCGTCCTGCTTGATATTCATACCCCTAGATTTGGCAGCCAAAGCCAACTGATCTTTTGAAGTATCTACTAGGAGATAATAGGAGTTGCGCTCCACTTGTTATTCATGCCCCTAGATTTGATAGTATATGCCAATTAAGAAAATCAGAACATTTGCTAGAAAGTACAAGAAATCTGATGCTCCCTACCCTAAAGGCTAGTAAACCGAAAATGTGAAGTGAAAAGATATCTTATCGAATAATAATACAAGCTACATAAAAAGACTCTCTAATCTTGAGCCACCCAAGTGTATTACCTTTTCAAAGACTTAAGATGAAAAGTATTGAGGTATCCAATTGTTCTATTCATCTCTGTAAGGTAGATCTGTCTTCTAACAAAAACAGATTAACAGATTAGGTGATTTAAAACTAGTAGCAGAATTTCTATTTCCTGATTAGTCCCACCATAACATAAAATAAGCCTACCTTGAATATAAGTTTATAAGTTAAGGTTAAGAAGTAGAATAGGTTAACATTAGCTATAGTCTAGTATTATAGAAGATGTACGATATATAATTAATAATTTTTATATCAATAAAATGATTAACATCTAAGCTTGTTCTACTATAAAAAAAAAATGTATAATAAGTTAAATTTTAATTTGTTTATTACAATTATTAAATCAATATATTGAAAAGAATTTTAAAAACTATATATATATAATTAAAAAATATTGATTAACTATATATTTTTATTCAAAATTATTTTGAAAGAAAAATATAATTTTATTAAAGGTTTTATAAAAATAATTTTAAAAAAAACAGAAGAAAATCTTTTATTTAATATATTTTATTTTTTGAATTTTTTTGTTATTTGTTATTAAAATTTTTATTAATATAAAGATTTAAATATAAATTATAAAGAGTGAACAAAAGTTTATAGACAACTTTAAAAATTAAAAATTAAATTAAATTAATAGAAAATTAAATAAATAAAAAATATATTTAAAATTTTTAAAAACTAAACTTTTAAATAAAAAAATTTAAAAAAAAATTTTTTAAAATTTTTTAAATTTTTTATTTAATAACTATAATATATATAAAAAAAAATTATATATATTTTTTTATTTAATTATATACTTTTTTATTATTAATTTATATTCTATTGATTTATAAATATCTATATAGCTAATTATATTTTTTTTAATATTTTGTAGCCTCCCTTTAGTTACAATACAAGCCGTAATATAACGTGGCATACTTATGATCAATTGTTTGTAATATACTGGATCAATCTCATTCCAATATTTTAAAATACAATTCTCGAGCTCCATTAAATTATTAGGTTTGGTCTTACAAATCCAAACTTTAATATAATGCCAGAGGTTTTCAATTAGATTAAAATCTGAACTTTGAAAAAACCAATTCATAACTCAAATATTTTTATCAGCAAAAAACTTCTTTGTAATTTTCATAATGTATAGTCTTGTATTATCATGTTAAAATCAAGGGCGGCCATTATAATCCCAATTAGTTTCATTGAAATTTCAAAGGACTAGTAAAAGATGATCTTGAAAAGTTGTAATATATGATTTTGCTATAAGAAAAAAAAGATAAGAGATAAGTCTAATTTTTTTTTTTATCTAATAAACTAATTTTATCTTACCTTTAATCAAGGTATAAAGAGAAACAAGGGAACCAATATCAAACTATGAAAAACATCTCCAATATACTGTATATGACTTGAGCTATGGTTAACAGTAACAAAAAGGCATTCAGCATTCCACTCTTTATATGGATTATATCAAATATGACATTTACTCCCTTACTGAAATTAAGTAAATATAGACTTGTTACTCCAGATTACTTTTTTGAAGTTCTGAATATACATGTGGTGGAATTGAATTCTACCATTTTTCAAAAACCATATTATGGTAGAATTACTAAGTAACATATAATAAATAATTGGAATTCGTATTTAATTCAGAATCGTATTATCGATCAAATTTCCTTTTATAGTAATACGACCACATGTATGGTTCTGAATGGTTTAGTCTTTACATGTAAGGTATCAGGTAAATCAATCTTCAATATTTTTTTTTGAAAGAAAGGACTTGAGACAGGTAATATAGCTTTTTAATTGTTTTTCATGCAGAATTCAACAAATAGTTTTTTTTAATACTTTGATTTTCATTTTGACTATAAAAAGATTGGTTAATTTTATGGCAGTAATATGTCTGTTATCTTTTTTGCCAATAACAAGTTTTTTGAGAATAGTACAAGCATGCTTATTGAGAAGTCATGGTTATCCTGATTGTTTTAATCGTCATATTTCTAATTTCGTGGATTTAGTTTCAATAAAATGCTTTATATCATTACCCACTATTAATTTTTTGTATTTGTGATATTATAATAAATTTTTTTTTTTTATAACTATAAATTATGGCTGCTTTTTGTTTAGAAGTTAATTCTTTATTAATAGGTATTAGTAGTTATATGAAAATTGAAATGAAATTTTTAAATAAATAAATAAATAAATTTTTTTATATAATGATACATTTTTATAAATTGAATATATTATATTTATATATTGAATATATTTTTATTAAAAAATTTTAATTAGTTTTTAAATTAAATTTTA